ATGCGTTTATCAGTTAATAGTTGTGGAAGTCAGGAGTCTGGGTGGAACCAGCTGTGTTTTCGGATTACGATTTCACAAAACCTAAATCGAGGTGTCAGGTGGGCCAGAAGTTATGTAGAGGCTCTGGGAAGGATGTGTTCCTGTGTTCTGTCAGCTCAGCAGCCAGCTTGAGTTCCATGAGACCACAGGGGTGAGATCACTCTCCCCACTGTCAGCCTGTGGTTATTCACAGCCCCTACCAGGCATGCCTGTGCTTTCAACATGGCACATGATGCTGTCTACAGAATTCACATTCAAGAACTGTGCAGAGGAGTTATCACAAAGACGTAAGGTTAAGTAAGTTTATGATTTTGTGTTAGTCCAGACTCAGAAAAACAAGTATCACATGTTTTCTGTCAGATTCAGAATCTAGATTTAAAAAGAAAGTCATGAGAGTAGAAGGGTTATTTTGGTATAGGAAGGGGTCAGGGGGACCAGCTGGAGGCAGGGAGAGGAGATAAGAGGGTAAGTACATTTATGTACATGTGTGAAAGGGTCAATGTTTTGTGCAATTAATGTGCACTAATTTAAATTACAAAATACTAGCTCATGGTAATTTTAGTTTGCTCTTGATCTTGTGACTGGAGGTTAAGGGCAGTCACATTGAGGGAGAAGTGAGCCCCACCCTAAGGGAAGAGGTAAGGCCACACTGGAAGAACCTGTAGAATGAGAGCTGTTTGTACAGACATCATGAAAATGCAATCTGCTGCTTACGTTATTCAAGAACCTTGGCAACGGCACTGGTTGAGTAGCATTCGGATCAAAATGTGTCAGCAGCAAGGAAGGAGTTATTTTGATGTCATGGGGTGTGGGGCCAAGCATGGAACCCAACAGTCTACAACTTTGTTTTGAACTAGGAAGTTGCAAAGCCACCTCAGTAGACCAAAAAGATGCCTGTAAGGATCACTAGGCCAGTAGCTGCCTTGTAGGCAGTGGGCCTCCCTCAGGGTGCCCCTGGGGACAAGACAGCAGCACACTTGTCTGTGGAATTGCAGGTTGTTCCTGAACTGAACTCAGTCAGGCTGGGTCACTTCACGTTTAATTTCAGCAAGAATGTAACTTAGGAGCTGGTCTCAGTGATTCTGTTTTATTCTGATTTAAAAAGCCAAAGTGCTGGCTGGAGATACAGCATAGGTGGTCTAGAACTTGCCTAACATACAGGAAACTCTGGGCTCTATACCTGGCACTACATGAACCAGGCCTGATGGAAGATGCCCAGGACTCTGAAGGTAGGGGTGGGAGGATCAGAAGTTCAAGGTCATGAAGTTATCCTTGGTGACATAGTAAGTTTGAAGGTAGTTGGAGATGCAGAAGACCATATTTGGGAGGGGCTAATGTAAAGTTCCCTCACCATGAGGGACCCAAGGGCGTCACAGACCCTCTTGGTCAAGGCCACATTCAGGTGCCCTGTGCCTTGGCTGGCAATGACCAAACTGAGCTCTGCTGAGCAGCTGCAGCAGAAGCAAAGACTCTCGAGCCTTGTGCACGAATGGTTCATCTCTGCAGCGGTTGTCTTTCTTGTGGAGAGAATTGAGACAAGAAGGCCATGCACTGCCGCCTCCTGTTCGCTACAGAACCACTTTCTAAGTGACTCTATCCTGTGAGGTCATCCAGGGGGCTGTCCCCCAGCTCTTGTGAGATCGTCCTACCATTCTGTTAGCCCCTGACTTAGATTCTGAACATATGAAGGGTCATCTGAATTCACCCATTATTTGCAGAGCTCTAAGCCTTTGCCAGAAACCATAAGGAGTTGGCAAGCATAGAGATACACTCAGTGCACTCTGCTAGCATATGTGGTGGGAGGCACACAGATGATGGACTTCTACTCAGCAGACATCTGAATCGGACCTACTGTGTGCCAGGCACCGTGCAAAGCTCTGAAGCTAGAGATGATGAGGCCAGTTATTATCTGTGTGAAATGGGACAGACATGTGAGACCACTTAGTGCCAAGTGGAGTAGTGCTGTCTGGATGGCAAGGTCCAAAGGATGGCAGCTGCTTCTGAGGCGACTTGGCCACTTATTAGCTCTGTGCTCTTAGTCAAAGTGTTAGCCCTACTTCTCAATTATTCTATAAAGCAAAGCTATGACAAGTTAATCTACACAAGTACCTAGAACAGGGTTTAGTTAACTAAAGCCGGCAGCCACTTACCTTGCATGCTCCCTCTCTCCCCTACCCAGAACTGCAGTGAGCGGGGGATGCAGCCCGAGTTGGTGTGCTGGGGTAGACTGCTGTACATGGTGGGGTGTGTCTCATGAGAGCAGTGGGCAAGTGTTTGTGGGTAATTCCACTGAGCAAAGAGTCTGGAGAGCTGTGCTCAATGCTCAGGGTCCTAAGTACTGGAAAAAGGAGTTTGGGCTCAAGCAGTGGGAAGCAGAGTAACCCATATGCACTTTCAAAAGAGCATTTTTGGCAGAGGAGGCAGAGATTGGGTGCAACAGAGAACCCAGAAAGCTGTGGCAGAGTTCTGGTGTGTGGCAAGGCCAGAACCACACTCAGCGCCTCTCTCAGAATGCAGAGGCTGAGGGGGAGATTCAGTTCTGGGCCTCGCTGCCTGCCTGTAGGTTTTTATTGGTAGAATGTTGTTTGGAGCCCTAACTTGTCCCATGTAGTCATAAATCTTAATATTCTGACATGATGGTCAGCCTTCTGTCCTCAAAACTGATCCAGATAGGCAGCTGCACACATGGCATTGGATGGGGTTGAGTGGATGCTTCTGCCTTCCTGCACATGGGCACCAGTGGGCATCTGTGGAGCCTGTTGAATAGGAAATTGCCTCATGGAGTGGGGAGGCTGCTGAAGAGGGGCCCAATATTTAAAATCAAAACAGTGGAAATTGTCTTGATATTGACTGAATGTAACAAAAGATAAGCTGGCTGCCAAGGGAGCTGAAATGGAGTCTATTAAAGCCCTTCTGCTGGGTGGGATTCCTTGGCAACAGTGATCTCATTTAACCTTTGTAGTCTTGTCAAGAAAATATCACTATGCCCATTTTACAGCAAAGAAGTCTCAAAAATTGCAGGTCCCATAGCATGGTCAGATGGCTTACAGATGTCAGACCATCAACCACACTTAGTGTTCATGAGCCTCAACTTATAAAACAAATATCATAATAAAACAACCCCTAAGTGATGATTTATACATCAAAGGAGACGCTATATGGATGAAAAAGAGAAGATGCGGTGTCATGGAGTACAGATGTGTAGGTTTTGTCATACTGTGGCACTGCAGTCGTGGTTTGCCACATACCTCTGTGTTTGCTTCTTTGAAATTTTGTTTGTTGTGTGTGGATGTGTATGTACGGAGAGCTTTCTCAAGCTTGTGTATGTGAGGACAGCTGTCCGTAGTGCCTGTCTTCCTCTGTACCACCTTATTTTTAAGACAGGGTGACCCTGGAGCTTCCTCTGAACAGACTGATGGCCAGTAACCCCCCCAGAACATACCCCCCCCAGTGATGGGTTACAGGTGTCTGCCAGCCCGCCTGGCCTTAACATGTGTGTTGGGGACCCAAACTCAGGCTCTTAGGCTTGTAGCAGATATTTTACCCACTGAGCCATCTACTTGGCCACATTTGTGTCTCTTCCAGCCAGTGTCCCTTTGCCTCTCCCTGTATGGGCAGTCTTCATAGTTCCTCAGTTGTCTCAATGATGTCTTCCCTAACTGCTTTTCTCTGTGTCCTGGATCGTGTCTTATATTTAGTCCCTCTGGCTCTGTTAATCCAGGTAGCTTCACTTTGTCTTTCATAACACTTGGGTTTTTAAGTGTACAGGGCAGTTCTGTAGCCTCATATTATGTCCCTCAATTGGTTTTACCTGATTTTTCCTCGTGATTAGATTTCACCTGTGCCCTTTTGGCAGTAATACTAAGTAACTGATTGCGTGCCTGCCTTTAATACATCCTCAGAGGAGAAATATGATTTGAGCTTATCCCATCATTAGTGATGCTCACTCAGGTCTTCGGGTGAGGCGGAGTCTGCCCCTTTCTTTTCTGTTAAGCTGTAGCCTTCCCTTTGTAACTGAGCAGGGGTTGTAAGGAGATGACTGAGACTGTGAATGTGCCACTCCTCTTGGACTTTTGCTCAGCAGTTTTGAGGTGAATTAATGATTCATCCCCGCATTAACTGTTATTATAATGGTGGTAAAATTTTTCTAAATCAATTATTCCTTTTATGTTTATTATTTATGACATTCCAGTGTAAGGAAGAGCTTTCCCTACTTCCCTATTTATTACTCAGTATATATTCATGGATTTTTATTTTATTCAGTGTATTGTAATCAGGTTTTATCATTATTCATTTTAGCACTCAAATTGTCCCTGAAGCCAGCTGGTGGTTCCTCTGTCCCCATCACTCTGACTTTTTAGGACCCCTATGTCATTTTACTTTTTGGCACAAATGGGTGCTCAGTTTCTAGTTCTTTTCTTGTCCTAACCCTGGAATTTGCCATTTATTTTTCAGGAAGTCTGATTTCTCTTAGTTAAGGAGTTAGGATCAGAGATCTGTACAGAAGGGAACTTACTGATGCTTGTGTAGGGGTGAGGCCACTGCTTCCAGGAAGTTTTGCACTGGCTTACACAGCCTGCAAGTATAGGTATGGAACTGTAATTTCCCATCATGCCTTGGCCTCTGGTCCGGCATTTGCAGGGTTGTTCTTTGCTTCCCCAGTTCCATGTTTGTGTTTCCTCCCCCAGTAGTGGGATTCTAGCTTCCAACAATGCTAATACATTTTTCCATCTGCACAGTCCAACAGAGTGTGCAAAATACCATCAAAACCTACACATACATTCTATGGAAGAAAAGGGCCTACTATGTAATTTAAGATGTTTTTGTAGTTCTTTTGTAGTTAGATTTTGGGTTTTCAAGAACAAAGACAATTACTATTATTTAGAATTACTTAGGATTCTAATCCAAGAAAACAGATTCACACAATCTTAAAAATCTATCCCTGCATTGTTTTTATCCAGAAGTTGCTGAACCAGAGTCCTTGGTCAAAGACCACTAGGACTAGCTCCTTCTTGCTCCTTTGAACAGTTATATTTGTGTTTGAAGTAAGTTTTGCCTATTTTATGTATATATTTTATATTTAGTTTATGTAAATAGAATCATACAAATTTATGGTTGCCTGTGTTTGGCTTCTCTCATTTAATATTATTCTTGAAGATCTGTTCATATTGTGGATATCAGTAATTTCTCCCTGCTGTAAAGTATACAAATGAGTTACTTTTCTGTTGCTATGGTAAAACTCCACAACCATGGAAAGAAGAAAGCGCTCATTTGTGCAAATAGTTCCAGAGGGACAGGAGTCAGTTACAGCAGAGAGACACAGCAGCAAGCAGCAGGCATGGCGTTGGGAACAAGAAGCTGAGGGCTTACATCTTGAACTGCAAGCATGAAACAGAGAGAGTGAAGTCTTTTAACTCCCAAAGCCCACCTCTAGAGACATAGTTCCTCCAACCAGGCCATACCTCTGAAACCTCCCAAACAGCACCATCAGTTGGGGGCTGAGTGTTCTGATGCCCAAGACTTATGGGGTGTCTCAGTCAAACATGATCTCCTTTCCTATGAGTTCTGGGTAATGAACCCAGGGCTTGGTGGGAACAAAGCGAGTGCCGTACCCCTGCATTGCATGCCTAACCACTATAAAGTATTTTGCACGGACTACATTTCTTTCCTGTTATACTACTGCCAAATCTTTCTGTAAAAATGTTTACTTTGGTGTGGACCAGCCTACATCTTTTTGCTCTATCACAGAGCTATACTTTCATTCCTATAAGTACCAGACTATGAACACTCTACACATGCTTTTTGGTTAAGATAAGCAAGTGTCAGTTTGGACACTTGTGCTTCCTGGCATGTGTATATTAAGTGTGCATACATAGTTTCTCAGATCTAGAAGCTGAAATTTTCAGCTCCAGAAGCCAGGCAGTTTTCAAATCAGCTGTTGAATTTTAGCCCTGACAACAGTGTGAGACTTGAGCTCTCCTGACTCTTCACCAGCACTTGGTCTTGTTAGTCTTTTTATTTTAGTGTGTGTGGTGATTAGGACAAGAGTTAAACTTTTTTGAGAAGCATGCTCTACAGCAGTCCTCAACCTATGGATCATGACTTCTCTGGGGGTTGAAGGGTTCTTTCACAGGGGTCGCCTAAGACCATTGGAAGACACAGATGTTTACATTACAGTTCATAACCATAGCAAAATTACAGTTCTGAAGTAGCAATGGAAATAATGTTATGGTTGGGGTCACCACAACATGAGGAACTGTATTAAAGCATCATGGCATTGACAAGGTTGAGAACCACTGCTCTACAGAGTTTGCCTGTCCCAAAGCTATTAATTGCTGTGAGTTTAACCAAGCTGGCTGTCCTCTCTGCATGTGGTCCCATGCTGTTTCCCAGCGTGTGGTGGCACACCATTGCTGAGTCCAAATGTGCTCTTTCAATATGCAAGGATCAGAGATATTTCCTATCGTAAGGATTGTGGCAGACTTTGGTGCAGAAGGGAAAGCAGGTGAAGTACGTGTCTTGATGAAAGAGCAACAGGAAAGTCATTCAGGACAAAAGGCAGCTCAGAACCCAGGCACTGGGCCCCGCACAGGATCTGTTTGGTGTTTCTTCCTATAGACTTCTCACACTGCTCTTTTCTTGCATCTTCTGCCCATAGCCCTCATTATGTTAACCTTTCCTATAGGGGGCTCATCCCTAGAGCCTCTTGTGGGCAGACTGTTCACACTATGCTGCTTCCCAGGCTGCGGTCAGGTGCCATGTAACATGGGGAATCTTGCTGTTGTATCTGGGAATATCTTCAGAATGGAGTAGAGTGGAGTCCTCTTCTGTAGATGGCAAGGTGCCTGTGTGCGGTGCGCCAGACGGGTTAGGTAGGATGTGTGAGATGGGTCTGGAAGTTAGTATTCCATTTTCAGAGAGGCAAGGGGGGGGGTTGCCAGCCGTCACATGGCTAGGGAGCAGGAGTACCAGGTTTTCTAGTCCCTTCTTCAGAGCCCATTTTCTGCTCCCCCACACTAAGTGGTGAGAATATTGGAAATTCAAAGGAGATTGGTGAAATAAATAATAGCTAAGTTGAGAGGTGAAGGGAGCCGGGCCTCCCAGGAGTTGAGGCGGTCCAGGGGGCAGAGCATCTTAGGTGTGTCTCTTGGGTATGGGTCTGGATTGGAAACACAGACACAGAGAGGGGACTTGTCTTGCTGAACTAGAGGTCATAAGAAAGGAGAGATTGAGTGTGGGGACAAGACAGAAGTTTTAATGCCGCGACAGTGTAGAACTTAAGAGATCTGACCCAGGAGTGAGAAGAAACAAGGGAGTCATGTAGGAGCCTCTAAGAGAGCAGGGCTGGAGCGGAAGGCCAAGAGCAATACAGGCTGCTTTGAGACGCCCTGAGAAGCACAGCCCACAGGCTCTGAGTCTGAGTAGGTGCCAGGCAGGAAGGGGACTCAGAGGCAAGCCCCACTGCCTGAGGAAGGTGTCCCTAGACAGTCAGCTCTCACCTGCACGGCCCTGACTCTCCTGAGACCTCCTAGGTGCTGTCCTTTGGTGAGTCAGTCCCTCAAAAGTCAACGATGGATGGGCATACGTGCTGTAAGGACGGCCAGGTTAGGAGGAGAGGGCTTGCGGTGACGGAGCAGTGATGCCGCTCGCCACCCAGGACAGCTAATGCTTGGGGTAGAAAGGGAAACCCATTTTCCCAGAGCAGGTAACACGGGGAATCTTGCTGTGGGGACACTAATGTCCTGTACCTTGCTTGCCCTGTCAGCTATACCCTCTTAATTACTGACGTCCACGTGCCGAGGCAAAACTGGAGAATTCTGAACCCTAGTCCCTCTGCTGCAGAAGGCATGCCAGCCTTAAGACTGGAGACATTCTCTCAGTCCTGATGAATGTTCTGGGATGTCTCAGTGGGTCTAAGAGAAGTCTTCAAAGGAGGAATACACTGCTGCTCTCTTCACCCAGGTAAAGCATGAAGGAGGACTGAAACTGCTGAGCCAGCAGCTGGCCAGGGCTCGCAGCTAAAGGCAAATAAGCAAATCCACTTCCACTTTCCTGTGCTCTCATTTAACTGGTTCCTGCTGGGGTGGTGGGAGGTTCGATCCCAGGGCATTGAACTTTGAGAGGCAAATGCTTTACCTGTAAGCCATATCTCCAGCCCCTAGTTTACGTTTCTTTAGGATGTCACCTTGAAGACTGTGTCCATACTGCTTATGATTATTTTGTGCTGGCTTTACCCCTCTGCTCCCATTGCCTTTTTATGGTTCCTGGCTTTACGCCATGCACTTACTGTGGGCAGAGATGCTGGGCAGGTAGTCTGTTGATGACAGACGGACTGAGGTGAGTAACAGGCAGTGCCTGTGAATAGGAATCCATAGTGGGAGGGACCCTGACACAGAGAGCCCGGGGAGAGCAGCCAGCTGGGGTTGGGATTTGATGTTTGAGCATTCTCCAGGGCTTACTAAGTAGGCAGTGGGAGACAGGAAATCCCAGTCAAGGAAAGTAGAAAGCATACGAGCTTGGTGCAAATGGAAAAAGAGAATACATTATTTGAGAGTTCATGAGAAGTGAGTATGGACCAACTCACGCTGGCCTTGTAAGTTGTGCTTTGTAATTTAGACCTTGCCCTCCCAATAGAATGGCAGGGGGAGCAGGACGGTTTTTATTGGGGGTTTGGTTTGTGTATAAAAAAGGGGGGTATCTCTTCTGTCCTCCAGCACTTCCGTAATGCAGACACAACACACTGTCACCTTTTAATATCTGAGAACATTCAGCTCCCAGAGGTTCAAAATCTTGCCAAAGGTCTCAGGAGCCAGAAAGGTAGAGGGCCCAGAAGTGACTTGGCTTCCTGGCTTGAGGTCTTTTACCTGATCCATCACCATTGTTAATAGTCTCCCAGAAACTGCCTGCCACTGAGTGGTGGGTAGGCACTGGCAGGAGCAAAATGAAGCAAATGGCTATGTGTACGCTGTCACTGAAGGAGTGTGGTGCTGAGAGTCGTGACTTGTGGTGTTAAGAGTTCCACCTCTATGCAGAGAGGGAGAAGCCATGGGAAGCTCCATGCACACAGCTGGGCACTGGCCTGACAAAGTCCATCCATCACTGTCTCACTCATGAATACAGAGCAGCAACTGCGGGGTGGTACTAGCATTTATCTGTCAGTGGCTGGCTTCTGGAAGCTTGATCCCTGATGCTGGTCAACCTCAAGTCATGATCCCAGCTGGCCCTCAACCCACAGATCTAAGTCCTTTGTCCTCTTTGTGTGTTTTATGAACTGAAGTTTTTTTTTCTTTTAAAGGTAATATGAAGCAAAAGTAAAGGATGGTAACTTGTAGATCAGCCAAACCCAGATTCTACTCCTGTCGCTGCCTCCTTCGCTCACTAAGGAAGGCATTTGAATATGTATGAGCCTTGGGCTCCTCGCCTCTAAAATGAGCAAAGCCAAACATACCTGGAAAGATGTCTGTGATGATTAAAATGTGCCAATGTTTCAAAATGCCTTGGAGCACAGCCTGGTGCACACGAGTACTCAGGTTATGGCAGTTTTAATTATTGTTCTTATCAAGGTCACCACACCACTACTGCTGCTACCACAGTGAAAGAATGTTCTGGAAATAAAGACTAGTAGGAGCAAAATGCCTTCTAGTCCTATTGCTAGGTTGTAGTTGCCCTGTTGATTTACTCCTGTTACCTTTGGAGCCCCTCCCCACATTCTAAACACACAAGATTTTATAGTCAATTGCTTTTTTTCCTATGTGGAGGGAACTGCATCATAATTTTTAATAGATTCCTCCCATTATAAGAATACTGTGTAAGACTTAGAAAGCAAAAGAAAAACCATATTCCTACCCCCACCCCCAGACCAGAGACATTGTCAGTTTGATGTCTCTCCTCTCAGTCATTTTCATCCATGTTTTATTATACAGTGGATATTGTATTATGGATACAATTTTTGTGGAATTTTTTTCAGTTCACATGATATTTGGAATATTTTCTTAGTGTAAGCATCATTTTCCTAGGCTGCTTAATAGTCCATCAAATAGCTCTACCATAATTTACATAAATATTTGTTTCCTGATAGACATCTAAGTTTTTTCCTGTTCATCAGTCCAAGTTGCCCCCTGTAACAGACAGACTTGGGGAGCCAGCCTCAGTACAGCCAGGAAGATTAAGGTGACCTCTTACTGTGCCTGTAGTCTCCAGTGAGTCATCATGGGAGGTTCAAATCACCTCAAACTTGGACACAGTCTGGAGCCACTTCCCAGGGGGCTTCTCTCACACACCCTGTCAGGATGCATGCAGTGTGTGTGGTACCCTCCACCCTGTTGAATCTGAGACATGGGATCCCAGCTCTGTGCAGGCCAGACCGAGGAGCCCAGGCTGCTCTTCTTGCCCACAGCATTCAGAGCCTCGAGTCCTTCCCTGTGGTCAGAACTTCATGTCCACTAGGGCATCGGACAGGAACTTGTCAGAGTATGAGAGTCATGGTGGCTTGGGTATTTTTCAGGGTTTTAAAATTTAAAAGTACTTCGTGGAATCGGTGCTTTGCTTGTATGTTTGTGTGTGCCCTGTGCCCTTGGAAGCCAGGAAAGGGCATCAGATCCCTAGAACTGGAACCATGGACAGTTGTGAGCCATCATGTGGATGCTGGGAATTGAATTCAATTCCTCTGGACAAGTGGCCAGGGCCCTTAACTGCTGAGCCATTTCTCCAGCCTCTCTATCCTTTTTTCTAATTAACACATATTTGTCTGTTATATATATATTTGTCATGTACAACATGAAGTTTGAAGTAAGTATACAAGTCAAGCTGATTTATGTATTATCTCACATATAATTTTGTAGTGAGAAAGCTTAAATATACTCAGCACTTTTCTTTTTCATTCCCCCCTTTTCTGTGTGTGTGTGTGTGTGTGTGTGTGTGTTCATGTTTGCATAGATGTGGGTATGTGTGTGTGTACACGTGTGTGTACATGTGAAGCTCTGAGGCTGAGGTTAAGAATCATCTCTCATTGCTCCTCCACCTTATTCACTGAGGCAGGGTCTCGCAAACCAAATTAAAAGAAAATGTTTTGCAACCCAGCTTCTTGTAGGTATCTGTCTGTCTCCACCTTCTGAGATGGGACTTATAGGTGAGCTCCCACCCTACCCTGTGGGTTATGGGGATCTGGACTCCAGGACTTATGCTTGCACAGCAAAGGCTTTAACTTCTGCTTCTCTGCATTTTTCAAGAATGTAACATACTGTTGTTAATTACAGTCATTAGTAGGCTCTACTATGGATGAACCCAAAGAATACTCTTCTAAATGAATTAAGGCAGGTGCAGAAAGGCTAGATGATCTCACTCTTGTAGAATCATTCCTGTGGTCAGGAAAGTTCTCACATTTAGACTTGCCTTGGAACCCCGGACAAATCATCTCCATTCTGGTAATGTAGCCGACGTGCATGGCCCTTCCCGCAACAACATCGAGAGTACGTGCCCCTTCCTGGGGTTAAACTGAGCATTCTGATACAGCTCACACATGCTTCTCCAGAGTCTAGAACTCTTAATTAGCATCCTCGGAGTCCGTCACTTCTTTCTGACAGCAAGTACATAATGCAGAGACTGAAGGGATAGATGTATTTGCCAGTGGTTGGAAATACCGGATTCAGACCCTGAAGGACCAACTGTTTTCTCTCTCTGGGGCAGCCTTTCTTTTCTTTTCTTTTCTTTCTTTCTTTCTTTCTTTCTTTCTTTCTTTCTTTCTTTCTCTTTCTTTCATGCACTTGGTACTTTTATTCATTCTCTCATTTGTCAGATGTTAACTGAGCTCCAGGCTTTGTACATTTCACAAGTGCAATACAGAGGTGAGACACAGCTGTGTTCTCAGGGTGCATGTGTCTAGTGCAGAGACCAGAAGAAATACTAAAAGACAAGCTGCCTGCTGCAATGTGATGCCTGATAGATGGGCAGAATGACAGGAGTGCTTGAGTCAGCCTAAACGCTATAGCCAAGGAGTTTAGAAGGTGCTCCAAGGTAAAAAGTGAATAGAGCCTTTTGTGTAGGCGGTGGGGAGAGGCCGTTCTGGATGATTGAGCAAGCGTGTACTCAAGCACAAGGGAACACAGTGTGTTCAGAGGCCACAGGGAGTCTGGGCTGCAAGGGAGGGGACGGAGCAGAAGCATCTGCTTCCTCTGACATCTTGGCTCATTTTGTCACTAAATGACAGCGATGGTCTTTTTAGTTCAGTATTTAAAAACTGTTGTCTTTATTGCTGTCTTCCCAGTTTTTAAAGTAACGTGTGCATTTTGAAAAAGTGCTGGGTGTGGCAGCCCAGTCCTGTAATCTCAGCACTTGGGAGGTAGAAGCTGGAGTTTAGGCCAGCTTTAGCTACTTGAGACCCTGTCTGATTTTTCGTATGGGTGTGAGGGGTGCTAAAAAGATGGCTTGGTAATTAAGAACACTGACAGAGGACCCAGGTTCGATTCCTGGCACCCACATGGTAGCTCACAACTGTCTGGCGCCCATCCTAGGGGATCCACTGCCCCCTTCTGGCCTCTGCGGTCTCTGCAGTTACTGTACGCGTATGGTGCACAGCCATGCTTGCATACACATAAAGCAAAATGGAAACAATTAAAGGAGTAAAAGTAGTTAAAATTTTTAAGTAAAAAGGAAGAAAGTTTAGAAAGTAGAAAGAAAAAGTACTGGTAGTCTAACTGGCTAAAGACAACTTTAACATTTTGATGGGTTTCTAGTCAATGTTTTTCACACTGACTTTTTATATAGCTGTGAATATGTTATAATTATAATTTTAACCTTTGTATATGATGCTCTTTTCTACATTTTTCTAAGATTTACCAAAATGAATGTGCATGTCATTATAAGATAACTATGATCACAAAACATACCAGCTGAGATATCTATACATTTTTTTCTAATAGCATATATTTTCTTTACTTTTACAGATTTCTTGTGGATCAGAGCATAATTTGGCAGTAATTAGTAAGTAACTTTTACACTGACATCAGTTGATTGTGAAACTCATATTACAGAATTGGAGAAGACTCTTTGGGTAGCCAGGCTTAGTAGTGTACATCTGTAACCCCAGCATTCCAGAAGCCAAACACAAGTTCCAAGCCAGTGTGGAATATATAGTGAAACGATGTCCCGTCTGTCATTTATTAGAAACCTATTTTATGAACATTTGAGAGTATCTTGCCGGGCGGTGGTGGCGCACGCCTTTAATCCCAGCACTCGGGAGGCAGAGGCAGGCAGATCTCTGTGAGTTCGAGGCTAGGCTGGACTAACAGCCTCCAAAATAATACAGAGAAACCCTGTCTCATAAAACAAACAAACAAACAAAAAGACTATCTCATTGAGTATCTTTTGAAGGTGCTTAAATGGTTCCTGCCTCAGAAAATAACATTTAAAGATAACGAGACATAAGATGGAGGAATGCTTTGGACACTTCTGGATCCCTGGATAAACCCATTCTAGAAAATTCTTTCCTCTTGGTCTGGCCTTGCCTTTGGAAGCACAGGGCTTGGCTCACTGCCCTTGTTGCCTGGTATATAGCTGTTCCAGTCAGACACAAACCTGGCTCATTGAGACTTCCCTTTAGCTGGCTCTGGATAATGCAAGTTCAAGGTTTCCATGATTGCACCCAAGAGTAATTCATTCAGGAAAGCTGTCCCTTATGCCCCTGGTCCACTCAGGCTGAACTGCACTGTTTGGCAGCATGGGACTTCTTATGCTCTTGCTGCTCTTGACCTTTACCCCACATGATTCCAGGTGTACAAGCGTATAAACTGCATATGCAAATTAGAGAAATGCTGGCAATAGCTCATAAAGAATTTTATTTAAAAACAGTTCTTCGGTATACATGAAATTTTATTATTAACGGACAAAACAGACTTGTGTACTAATGAGATAGGTGTGCATGTTTATTTTTACATACAGAGTTAAATCTCAGATGAAAGTTTGATATTCAGTGTCATCAGTGCTGAGAATGCCACTTCCCATAAATACCCAGCACAAAACAGCAGTCTAGGACCATCTCAAAAATTGTTGGAAATTCTGTCATAAGCCAAATTTCATTTAATGATGTTTAAAGTTAAATTTAGGGGTGTGTGTGTCTGTGCGTGTCTGTGTGCGCGCGCACATAGCGCTTATTTCAGGGATCAAAATTCAGGTCTTTAGGCTTGGCGGCAAGTTCTTTTAGTCACTGAGTCATCTTACCGGTTCTCTTTCATGGGTTAAAAAAAAAAAAGAAATCCAAATTAGCAACTCATATAGCAGTTTTTAAAACCAAACATTGCAACTTAGCACAGCCCAACGATATTATACCACTTTGATACTCCATAACAGTGAGAAAAAGTAGAAAAGAGTATTTGTTCTCATACTTTGACATCATGCTTCTAAACGAGCGGAAACCAATTTACATCACAGGGTTCTGAGCCTGGGGTTTAGGACAGTGTTCAGTGGCCTTTGTCATGTGTTCAGAATCAAGGCTGCAGTGACGTCACATGGGACGACATTGGCAAACCTATGGTAACACTGTGGCTTCGTTACAGATTTGATTTTGAAATAATTTGTTGTTGTTGTGTGTTCAGGAACCTTCTGAACTAATGGGCTTCTGTACTAGCGGGAACTCAGACAAGGTATTTAACCCTTTCTGCCTCATTTTCCTTGTCATTAAAGCAGGGGTGGCAACAGTGCCCAGCACATGGTGTGCAGAGAACCCCAGTGTGGTCCCCAGCAACTGACAGCTACTGTAACTCCAGCTCCCGGTGATACAAAGCCGTCTTCTGGCCTTCATAGGCTCTGCATACACTTGTACAAACTCATGTGCACATAATTAAAACTGAAAGTAAAATCGTTAAAAGAAAGTTTTTAAAAAATGTTAAGTAATGTTAGTTGCTGTTATTTGATATGATTAGCTCCCAGGATTGCCTTTCCGAGGCTTTACTTCTGCCTGTAAATTGGAAGTTCCTGCAGCCTCTGCCTGCCTCTGTGCCAGTGGTCTGTTGTTCCCGTGGCTTCTGGGGGGAGCCCTCTGTGTGTGCTACCCTCCCCTTTGTTGCCTGTTCACAGCACCATGAGCAGCAGCTGACTAAGCAGAGCCGGAAGCACGCATGACTGGAGCGACACTGACACAGCTGCCTGGGATTGGCGTGGTTCGAGTGTTTGCCCTGGTGTCACATGCAGGAACCAGGGACAGCAGAAAGGGAAGCTGCTAGCAGCAGTGGGGAGCCAGAGGAGCTGGAGTCAGGGAAAGCTAGGGAAGGTTCCAGCTAGCCTGCTTTGCAGCAGGAGCAGGTATGGGACGCCGGAACTGCTGTGGTCTGGCTGTGATTGAGACAGTTAACGAGAGAGTTTACGGCAGCACCAGTCCCTGCTGCTGTCTCTGGATGGGAGAAGGCAGTCTCCCCTGGGAGCAGCATGGACAAAAAGGCTGAAGGTAATCTATACAGGATGCACACAACTCAGCGACAAGAGAGGTACCAAGCTAGCAGAACTGGAGGCTGACAGAGGCAACCTGGGACCTGGAAGAGCAGAGCTGGCCAGCAGGCAGCCATGATTCAAACCATCCCCATCTCTGTGTGAACTCCATTTCCTCCTCGTCCATGCAATGGGGATAGTAATCCCTGAGTGCAGGGCTGTTGTGCAATGGGGATAGTAATCCCTGAGTGCAGGGCTGTTGTGCAATGGGGATAGTAATCCCTGAGTGCAGGGCTGTTGTGCAATGGGGATAGTAATCCCTGAGTGCAGGGCTGTTGTGCAATGGGGATAGTAATCCCTGAGTGCAGGGCTGTTGTGCACATTAGGCTAGATAGAGTTCACAAGCTGCCTCTTTTGTCTACTTCTTTGTTTCTGATTTACCTTGGTATAGAAAGTGGTAGAGAATTGTTCTAGTGAAATATTTCCTTGTTGGGAGAGGGAAATGAAGATATTTTGGGAAAGAGGGTGTCCCAAGTTGTCTCAGTAAAGCTGTCAGGGTCAGTGGGAGGAACTGGACAAGTGTTTGAGTCCTTTAAAATCAGACATTGTTGTGGGATGTCGCTTGGAGGTCAATGGAGTGCATGCCTCCTATGCATGAGGCTCAGGCTTTGATCTCAGCACCATACACAATAACAATAAATACGAGTAAATAAATGCATAAGCTGGGTGTACTGGTACATACCTGTGATCCCAGCATGTGGGAGGCTGAGACAGTAGAATCATTGGAGTTAGAAGTCAACCTTCTCTACATAGTTACATAGATGGTTACCGTTTCCATGCTGACCAGGGCTATGTAGTCAGACTCTGCTCTACCCCACTAAAGTAAATGAAATAATAATAAAGGGAAATGGAATTTTAAATTATTTATCCATTTATTGTGTATATGTAAATATACCTTCATAAGTTTATAAAGGTACCCACAGAGGTCAGAGGGTATCAGAGACCCCAATGTGGGTTCTGGGAACTGAGCTCAGGCCCTTTCCAAGTCCACAAATATAATTTTTGTTTGGTCCTTAGTGCCTAGGGACTGGCTCAGTGTGTTAAACAGAGAACTTCAGGGTCAGGAAAGGCAGGCCCCAGTCACAGTATTCTCAGATGCCCATTGCTTAGGAGCTGAGACTTGGGTGCTCTGCGGAAATACAGTCCCCAAAGGGTGCCCTGCCCTGCAGAGTGCCTGCTTTGCAGGCAGAAGTAGCAAGAAGCTGCTGCCTGTTCACCCTGACTGGAGGCCAGCAAGGGAGGCAAGCTGGAGAAGAGCCCTAGCAGCTTGAGTCCTGATCCCAGCTGCCTCCTCCCCCAGCCCCGCTGCCATTGCTCTGTCACACAGCCTTCTGCCTCTAGTCCACTCTACACCCAGCACCAGGACCTGGTACTGAATCCCACACATGATAGACTTGGAATACTTCCAGAAAATACTGGAACGGAATAAAAAGAAGCTAGACTTTGTTCATGGGCAGGAGCCTTAACTAGCTAGCAAATGTTCACCACCCAGATAGCCTGGGAAGGGAGTGAGGCAGAGAAGGGTGAAGGGATGGTGGGGAGGATGTCTCTGTCCTGGGGAGTAAACACAACTCCACAAAGTGAATGTGTCTAACCGCTTTATGGACAACTGAGACTCAGTTGATAGGTTAAACAGGTTTCCCGTAAGTATACATGCTCAAGCTGTCGCCTGCCTCCAAGACTGTTTTTCCACCTATGTCTGAGCCTGAAGCAGTAACATGTTGTGGTTACATCATTGACCTCACACAGTTGTTAGTAGAACACTCACTGACACAAAAGTAAGGGTATGATGTTAGCTGTTATGTTTAGCTCTTACAACCTCATAGAAGGGAGTGATTATAATAGACCATAAGTGGCTTAAGGCCCCCAGGCCCCCTGAGAGCTATAGAGGCTGGAGAAAAGGGTGTCTTTACTCTGGATGTCAGTGTCCTGAACAAAGCCTGCATGTTGCTGCAGAGGCCATGGTGAGAAGAAAGAACCCTGACGGTATCTGGGATCTGCACATCTCAGTAGCCCTTGAGACAATGCCAACCCAGATTTGTTCCGAGTCAGGATTTTGCTACCCATTTCCTAAACAGGGACCCAACGCCTGTCCAGCCTAAGGCAAGTTTCTTGGCAGCCACTTTCTCCAGAGAAAAGAATTCTACATGGTGACTTTATCTGCATCTAGGTTTCTTTCTCCCCTTTAGCAGTTTAGATGACTTTCTTGGCATGTCTGGTGCTTGTCACCAGGCCCCTGTTGTGAGGCAGAATGGCAGGTGGTGTGAGCCCTGCCTGGGAAGGACTGATAGATCTAGCCCTGCAGGTGCTTAGATGACATCTGAGGAGAGACCGGAGTCCATTGGTCCTTACTGAGTTGGCCACTCAACCTCCTGCCTCCTGCGGTCACTCTGCCCCGCTGAGCCGGATTCTCAGTTTGTAGCCTTGCCATCATGATGCCCACTGCAGAAGTGGGTCTTCCCAAGTGACACTGACATGCAGAGTTCCTGCACATCGTAGGTATCTAGGCTGGTGCTCATTCAGCTGCCTCGTTGTCTTCTTTCTTCTTCATTTCTTTTCACCCAGGATTTCCCTCATGACTTCCACTGTAGACAGGCTGCTGTTGTCAGAAGTAAGAAAGGTCACATGGCCACACTTTTCAAAAGACCCTTGCTAGGAAGGTAGCTCGGTGAGCAAAGGGCCAGCCATTTGTTCTAGTTGCTTTTCTTCTTCCTACTTGACAAAAGCAACTTGAGGAAGGCAGAGTTTATTTGGGTTCACATTTCCAGGGATACAGTCCATCTTGGCAGGAAGTCATGGCAACCAGAATAGAAGGCTGCTGTGTACCTTGTGCAAAGGAAGCAGACACTGACGAATACTTGTGTTCAGCCCACTCCTTCCTTTTCATTGAGTCTGAGACCTCAGCCCATGGAATGGTACCAACCACTTTTATGGTGGGTGCTTTCCATCTCACTTAACCTAATCTAGATAATCTAGAGTGACCATCGCATCTCGTACTTGTTGGCCAGTCAGTCTTGTCTTCTCAGTGGACTCCAGGGCACCGACAGAGCCTGTTGCAAAAAAGTAACATGGACCGCTCCTGGGGAATGACATTTGAGGTTGCCCTTGGCAGAGGAGCACATACATACACATGCATGCACAAAAAGAAGAGGGTAGGCCGGCAGGGAGAGCTGGCCACACTGCCTTTCTCTGCACTCCATTCAGATCCTTTGAAAAGGATGTTATTGGTGAAGGCTCTCTGGGGGAAAGGCTTGTCAGAGAGCCTCTGTTAAAGGCAGGAAGCATGGACCCTACTTTTCCAAGCAAAGTAGTTCTTGTAGAAATTGAAATGATAGTCCATGCATCATTTTACTGGTGATTTCCAGCTGTTGAACCTTTGAACCTTTGCTAGATGTGTGAGAAGCATCTGCCCTTGGCCTGACACCCATCAAACAGGGCCATGCCAGAATTTAATAGAGAAAAATGCAATAGAAGAAAATTGCTTTTTTACTTTTATTTTATGGTACTAGCAATGATTCCTTTGAACCCCAGGGCTTTATAGAGTGCTTTAAGGCAGGTTCAAGCTTGCATGTTCCTCTGTGGAGTAGGATAGGCAGGCTATAAATGCCTTCTCTGATTATGTCATTTCATATTCATAGCTAAGTGATGAGTTGGTGCTGCCATGAACATTGGTATGTCACTGTGGGAAAGTGTAGTTATAGGATAAATTTCCTGGAGTGAAATTATTATACAAAAGAGGAATTGTGTTTCTAATTTTGCAAGACATTGCAGAATTTGCTACTGTAAGGATGATAACTTTTTTTTCATTCCAATCAGCAATATGCAAGAGTGCCTTTTTTTTGCAGTGTGCCTAACAGAGGGTTGTAAAGATCTGGATTTTTGCCAGCCTTATGTGACTGGTAAACTGTTAAAGGTGATTTGATTTTTTAATTTTTTAAATTTTGTTTTGTTTTGGAGACAGTCTCTCTACATAGCCCTAGCTGTTCTAGAACTCACTGTGTAGATCGAGCTGGTCTTGTACTCACAGAGAGCCACCTCCCTCTGTCTCCTGAGTGCTGGGATTAAAGGCATGCGCCACCATGCCTGGATTTTCTTTCTTTTTTTTTTTTTTTTACCTTAGTCACTTGAGTTTTTTGTCTAAATATGTGTTTGTGTACCACATGCTTGTCTGGTGCCCATGGGGCCCGAAGAGGGAGTTACAGAAGATCACTAACCACCCTGGGGTGCCAGGATCTAACCTAGGTCCTCTGAAAGAACAGGCAAGCACTCCTAACCACTGAGCTGCCCTCCAGCCCTTCTCATTTCTTTTGAACTTGAAGCACATTTATGGACTGGCAAGACGGCTCAGTGGATATAAGCACTTACCTTCAAACCTGAGTTTCAGCCCCATGAGTGACTTTGAGCTCCAGAGAACTGATGCCCGCAAGTTGTCCTCTGACCTGCGCATGTGCACACACACACACACACACACACACACACACACACACACACACACACACACACACACACCCCATTTGTGATGACTAATCTTGGTAGTCAGTGTGGTTAGGTTGGGAAGTAAACAAGGGATTACTAAGGCAACTGACAATGTACCTGTCTGAGGGCCTCCTTGTTATTGTCTGTGAAGTGTTTCCAGAGATAATTAGAGCACCAAAGGGTTTTGATCTCATGAATGATTTAATACATTAATGGATTCAAGTTTTGAATAGACTCTTGGGAGGTGATAGACCTGTGAGTGTTGGCGCCCACTTGAAGGAAGTGGTGGCTTGAATGTATTCTTAGGGCCTGTGTCTTGTCCTAACCACTTTCCTGCTGCTGCTCCAGTCTGCTTCCTGTCTGCCGTAATGTGAGCTGCCTTATCATGCCTTCCTTGACACAATGACTGAAACCTTAGACATTATGAGCAAAAGGAATTCTTCTCTTCGATTATTTGTTGGGTCACAGTCCTGATAAAAGTTATAGAACATAGACAATGCACTGAAATCCTAACAATTTGGATTAATGGCTTTTCACATAAGTTTGTACCAAAGAAACTACCACCCAGGACAAGATACAAGGCATTCCGAGCACTGCAAAAGGCGACCTCATGCCCCATCCCTGCAGTAACTCTCCTCTAAATGGGAGCCCTTGTTCTTCTGCCTCTAAAGATGAGATTTGTCTGTTTGAACTTCATATAAAGAGCACGCTCCTGCTGAGTGTGACTTTTAACCAGCACCTGTGTCTCCAAGAATTACCCGTGCTGTATGCAGCAACAACTCTGTTGCTTGGCCAGCATTCCTCTCTGTCCTTGTACCTTGTTCATCCTTTAGCTGTTGGTGAGCATAGGGGCTTCTGTGCCGGGGACTTTGAGGAGGAATGCTCTGGGTGTCTCATGTCTCCTGCGTGCGTAACTGAAATGAGGAGCTGTAGAGCACGTGTGATGTTTGGATAGGAATGGCCCTCAGAGGCTCATCTTGATTGCTTGGCCACAGCCAATGGAACATTTTGGGAAGGATTAGGAGGTATGGCCTTGTAGGAGGAGGTGTGTCACTGGGTGGGCTTTGAGGTTTCAAAGTCCTACAGCATTCTACTTAGTTTTCTGTCTGCTTGTGGTTGTTGTCTGAGCATGTAAGCTGTCAGCGGCTGTTCCAGTGTCATGCCTGCCTGCCTGCTGTTCCCTGCCATAATGGTCATAGACTCACCCTCTAGAACTGTGGGTCCCAGAATTACATACTTTGTTTTATAAGTTACCTTGAACACGGTGTCTCTTCATTGCAGTATAAAAGTAACTAGCACAATACTGCTAAAAACGTTTCCTAAAGTAGTTGTACCAGTGCA